AGGTAATCCAGGTCTCCGTGAGAGCAAGGAAATCCAGAGACTGCAGGGAAGCGTAGCCAGAAATGAAGTCAGCCTTAGGAACAGCTGACTGGCAGTTCCACAGCCCCCCTGAAACGAGATGTTGGATCTCAGTGGAGCATGTGGGATAAACAAGAGCAGGCCGGTTATATCGATTAGGAGATACACGGGGCCAGTGATAATTGCGAGAGGACACATGAACAGGAATGGAGAAAATACACATAATTATAGCATGAGGGGCTAGATAACCAAAGAGAATTGAATAAAACAAAAGAAAACTCCAGCGATACTTAGCGCAATCAAAGTAGGATTTGCCTCCTCTTTGCCTCCCTCGTGACTCCAACAGGACTCCAATGTCTTTGTCAGTCTTCGTCTGGCTGACGCTGACGGTCCAGGAAAGAGCCACCTAAGATGGACACCTGATTGCTGAGTTCTCACAGCTGTGGGGGCACGCCCCTCTAATTAGTTAACTCTCTTCAGCTGGTTGGGCGACAGCAAATTGTTCCTGCCTATTGTAATGCAGGGTTGAGGCGCGTGACCCACTGAGACCTGTGTTACAGGTTGAGTTGAGCAGATCTGAGATTTAAAATCTCTCAGAAATCGCCGTTTTAGCTACAATAACTACAGAACAATTATACAGAGTAGAATAAATGAAACAGAGAAGTCTATTAAAACAAGAATATAACTTACAGTGATTGCTGAGTCAGTATAGATAGTGTCCTCACCGGGTCTGGATGCACACTTCTAGTAGACCTCCTCAACAATGGAATTATGATCAGTAGAAATGACATGGGACCTTTAAGAACATACCTTCTTACGCTCCTCTAGTGGTAAGCCGCATACCCTGTCAGATTTGTTCCCAGCAATGAAAAATATTGTTTCCTCATTTCAATGTGTCAACTGCAGTGGTGAAAAAAGTACTCAGATGCTTTACTTGAGTAAAAGTAAAAGTACCAATACATTATTGTCAAAGTCCTCCATTCAAAATCCTACTTGAGTAATAGTACAAAACTATTATCACATTTTCTTTACTTAAAGTATACAAAGTAATTATTGTGCAGAAAAATTGCCTTTATGTTTGTATATAATGATATTTATATAGGTGACATTTCTAGATAATACTGTTGCATCAAGTAGCATTTTACTATTGTAGAGAAACAAAGTTCTGATTGACTTTTGTAAAATATGTAAATATATTTGACTCCTTTATAACTTAAAGAGTTAGTGTAGTTTAATTTTTTAGAGATACATTTTGTTAAAAGTAGCTAAAGCTGTTAAATACATGTAGAGGAGTAATATTACATTTTTTCCCTTCTAAATGCAGAAGTACAAAGTAGCATTTACTGAAAATGTTAAAGTATCACAAATATGTTTGCTAAAGATCCAATTGTCTGCATTATTCCGAAATCCAATAGAAATATACCACAGTTTTGTGTTGATGGAGCCCTTGCAATGCTTACTTCAGGGTCGGCCTACAACAATACGTTATCAGTGCACCACTCTTCAGGAACTGCTCACATAGTTACTCAAACCACTTAACATGAAATAATGAAACAGTCTGAAATGAAATGCAAGAGGTTCCTCGACACAGGTTCTGTTCAGCTACAGAACTGCTGTGTAGATAGCTTTAAAATCAAATGTAGGTTGAAAATGGAAAAGCTTGAAATGGACAATGTCACTGGTATTGTTTGCGCTGCAGCCTGCAACATGATTCTATGTGATGACAATGTGCTGCCCTCTGTGTTTCTGCATACACACTGAGCAACATGAGATACATTGTGTCCCTCATGTTCAGCTTCATATCAGTATGTAGTGTCTCCACTGTGACATGTCTCTGTGCTTTAATGTTCCAAAAGCTCTTTATTCTTCTAATCCTGCCTGTGCTGCAGCACCTCTTTTCACCCTCTGTCTGAAACCAGAGCCCAGTCTGCTCTGATTGGTTAGCTGGCCGGCTCTGTTGTGATTGGTCAACTGCCTAGAGATGACCCGCCTCTTATAACTTACACTGTGTCATGGCGCTAGCCAATAGAAGCGTGAGTGGTACATAGCGATGTCACTATGTTACAGAAATAAACAAAGGAGTCCAATAGAGGCCTCTCAGACGGGGGGGAGTGTGTGGGACCATTTACATGTATATGAACCTACAAAAAAAAACTAAAAGAAAGGGAAGAATCTATGCCTCTTCAAAATATGTGAAGGTAACCAATACATTAATTTGCTAACAGTGGACCGGCACACCAGAACAGTACAACTTGATCATGATAGCCGAAGCTGCTCTACTCACTTCCCCCCCCAGTGACGGCTGCAGGTCGCACTCTGCAGTGGGGCTCAGGTCCTGCCTCATGACCCAAATGGGCTCCTTGGGCTCGTCAGGAGTGTACGGGGATCTCACGGTCCTGGTCTTCACCTCCTCTATTGCCTCCTTAATGTCCTTGATTGCCAGGGAGATGGCGTCCCTCTTGTCTTGGCTGTTCCTCACTGCAACCGGCTCCTCTGTCCCTGTGTTGGCAGCTTGGTGGTTTTTGTCAGAGTCGATCTGAGACTCATCTTGGGCTTTTTCCTCTCCTTCCAGTAGCTCATTTTCTTCATGTATGGTGTCTTCAAGAGCACGATGGAGACTCTGAGAGCTCAGGCTTTCTTTCACCTCAGCCACGATGGTGTCGATGTCCTCGTCCTGGTCGCAGCTGTCGGCGCGCGGGTACGGGGCGAACTCGGCCTCCTTCTCCGGGCTGTCTGACTCGCCGTCCGAGCGCTCGTCGTAGTGCCGCAGACGGGAGCCCACCGCTTCCTGCTGATGGTAGTCTCCCCCTGCCGCCCGACCCTCGAACAGTTTGAAGCCGGCACGCCTCTGCCGGAGCGACTCTGTGTCCTCAGCCCCGTCCGCAGCAGATGAAACTGATGTGGGAGTATCGCAGATCTCCTCGTAAACATGCTCTGAGAGTGAGTATATGTCATATGGCTCGGAGTAGGCTTCGTCCCCGAGAGCAGCGTCCAAACTCTCCAGGCTCTGACCGTCCGACACGTCGCCCCTCTCACCGGAGGGGCTGAGGGGCTGGGTGTAGACGTAGTTGGAGTAGCCGGCGTGCAGCATTTCCTCGGCTTCACCCTGTCTCTGAGGGCTTTCGACCTCAGGCAGGGGTTCAGGTGGCTGAGGGGGGCAGTGAGGATGGATATGTTGCTTCTCAGCCTCGGCACTCTCAATGTACCCCTCCGCCTCAGGCATCAGCTGGACCTCGTAGTTCCCGGCGTCGTCCTCGGCCTGCCCCTCCGGCTCCAGAGACATCACCAGCAGGCCGTCGTCGCCCTCGGCCCGGTCTGTGTGGGTGTGGAAGTTGCTCTCGGTGCTGGCTGAGCGGGCCAGCGCTGAATCGTCTCGCTCCCGCTCGTCCTCCTGGCTCCTCTGGGCGCGCCGCTGCTTCTCATGCTGGGCCAGGTGCTGCGTTCGCTCCGCCTCCCTCTGCTGCCTCTGCCGGTGCCTCTGCTGCTGGGCTCTGACCCGGGCCTCGCTGTCCCCCTGTCTGCGGTATCGTGTCACTGCGGGTCGGGGGATGGGCTGGGGCTGTGGAGGCTCCTCTGTCTCCTCCTGTGGCCCCCTGTGCTGCTGAGGCCCCCTCACTTTGCTCCCAGCACCTCCTCCTGCAGGGGCCTCAATGCGCCTGTAGCGTTTTTCCTGGTTGCTGTGGTTACGGGACCGGCTGTTGTGGTTGTTGTGGTGGTGGTGGGCGGAGGCGTCGGCCTCCTCCATAACCTCCTGGCCGAGCTCCATCTCCTGGGGGTTCATGGCTGTCTGGTCCTGGTCCGTGGAGCTGTGTCAGTGAGAGGGTTCAGTCCCTCATCAGCAGGAGAGTCTGGAGGTCAGAGTAAAGGCTTCTGGGAAGAGCCTGAGATAGGTAGACAAAACAGGTGGGTAAACAGAAGGGGACACATTAAAGTAACATGTATTGTTGTTTCTGGGTGTGGTGTGTCACAGCTAGAGTGGAGGAGAGCTTGAAATTCGCCTTAAATTATTTTTAAAACTGCCATAATTCCCAAACACATCATTTTTTTAATGATTAGGAGTTATGAGTAGGTGCTCAGCACAGAAACAAACACTGACAAACAGACTGGACTTTAACAGCCTATTCTTTTCTGTCTGATGGAGACTTCATACAGACTTCAACATGTTCCACATATTTTAGACATTATTGGTGACGTATGCTTTTAGTCGAAAAGTTTACAGTCAAAATATTCTGCTGCTTTCCCAATTATGTTCTCTTCTTAATACACATTAATTCACTACTACTTACTGCACTTTCAGCAGCAGAAACCATTAAACTATTAAATTATTCAGCTATTTCAGGACATTGAGGCTATACATGTTGTTGTTTATACCTTTTTTAAACCTTTTCTTTTAAATATTAAGCTTCTTCACTATTTTTCCTACTCTTCCAGTTTAACATTTCACTTTCAAGTTTTCAACAAAGTCACTGCAATGCATTTGAGCTGTAACAATTTGATTCAAATCATTTCACTTTTCTGCATTTCTCTGCTAAGTTCAGCAACACACTTACTTGGTTTTTGTAGCTTAAAGCAGCTTTAGAGACCGAATAAATCATTCACAAACAAGTTTGTCTTTTGTTGTATTGAATAAAGTAATAAAGAAAGTAAAAATAGAAATCAATCTAAAATTGCAGGAACAAAGCAACTTCCCCACAAGTGGATAAAGAAGATGAACACCCCATAATTTACAAGAAAGCAAGCAGCCAACCATACCCCTAAATTATCTTAGACATAATCTAAACATTCCCATCATTAAACTATAAAACCCTCCACACTGTAAGAACTGAAAAGGATACATTTCCCATACATGTATTAGTTTGTGATCAGAAAGACAAAAGTGCGTAGGTTGTTTAGCGATAAGAAACTGAAAGGACGGAATCTACATTAAGGAGCATGACAAAATGGAACGCGGGCGGACATCACATCAAATTAGAGCAACATGGATCAGGGACTGCAAGATATTCATCAAGCGCAATGGAGGAAAAGTGTTACTTGTGAAAGACAGTGGAGACTTATCCAGATGTTAACAATGTCTACATGTCTGCCTCTGCCCAAAGACATTCTGAAATCCGACAATAACAAGGATACCTCTTGCACTATTATTGGTTAAGTAATCATAAGTAACCCACGTTTACAAATGCGCTGTTAGTCTTCACTGCAGCACCACAAGGACATGCTGAGATATGGGTTAGTGTACCATTCTATCTGTAAAGCATTCAAAATGTATGAAAATAAATAAGAACAAGAATAAAAACGAAGTCAAACTACAATACATCTTACTTTGGTCAGGAAGAGAAGATCTTCATATGCCTCTTTTACCACCTCTTACACCAATGTGCAATAATGTAAAAAACAAACAAAGACGATGACACCACAACAACATGTGCAATATGTTCTGCTAATATTATTATTACTACTGGCTGCTACTCCTAGTCCATCACTTGTAACAGGGATCTTTACGTAACAATACAGTATAGTAATTTTACTACTGTTATATATCACCCTTCATTCTACAATGCTACACTTATTTTATTTCAGAAACACTGTTGCTACTTACTTATCTACCTGAATGTGTTTCTGTTAAATTGTAATGTTTTTTTCTCATTTTCAATGCTATGTGCATGCTTTTTATATAACAGTGTTCTATTTTCTTCATCTATACTTTGCTGTAACAACGTAGATTTCCTCTTTGTGGGACGAATAATGGAATTCTGATTCTGATTTCAGTACGAGCACTCCACTCAAAGAGCAACACATTTACTTTAGCACACATGGACTTACACTCGCAGATCAATAAACTCTGCTCATCATTGAAAAGACACCAGATTTGGTTCCATTTTCAGTACAACAATTACCAAAACAAAAAGATGTTTCTGGCTCTCTGCAATATTCTGGGAAGATATTCTCAGATTTTGCCCATATTCATACATCCTCATGGAGAACCATTCACTGTCTGTACACCAGGGCAGCACTCAATCAACCTGCTGCCGTCTCATTGGATAGGGCAGGGGTCGGCAACCCGCGGCCCACGGGCCGCATGCGGCCCTTTAAGCCCTCTGCTCTGGCTCCCTTGAGCTTAGAAAAAAATAAGAAGGAAATAAAATAAAAGTATTTGTAGGACTATTTATATTTTGTTGCATGGTTGAAAATGTTTCGTATCTTGTATTTTGAGGTGATACTGTGACACATAAATAAAAAACAAAACGGTTTTAATTAGGTCACATCCTGTTATGGTCCCACGCCAGCGCCTTTTCCTGCGGGTGAATAACCTGACCCCCGGCTCGATGAGCGAACTATGGATAAATCAAAGAAAAGTAGCGGAGGAACACAGGATTTAATTCTGCGTGGACAGAGATATCTGCTTTCACAGCAAACGATGCTGGTTTACCGGTATGTTTGATATGTAGAGAGAAGTTGTCAAAGGTGCTGCAGCCTTTACGTATCGAGGAACAACACGGGAGAGGAAGACAGCTGACAATCTTCAGTCATAATTCAATGGGGTATGTAATTTATTTCAGAAAACACTTTTTGTTATATTCCATGGAATGCTCTTAACGTCCCGATAGCACTGAATATATTAAATGCTTTGACAATAAATACATACAAAAATTAATCTCAGGAAGCCGTAGCGCTGTAAAAAGCACGACCAATCATCTGAGCCGGCCCGGCTAAAATAACTGGATGGCCTACCTGCCTGTCAGCCTTCCATCTGTGCACAAACTTACCTCGTGGCCTCATTGATGATGCATGTTCGTGTGTGTTGGAGGAGGGACTCTGTAAGAAAGTCTGAAGGAAGAGGCATATTTT